CACCTTAGAGACTAACAAATTTAAATTTGTTAGTCTCTAAGGTGCCACAAGTACTCCTGTTCTTTTTACTCAAAGATCTGTATTTATATGCCTCGGAAAGAATCTATTTGACAAAAAAACATGTCCTGAATCTTTTCGTTTTCCGTTTTGTTACAGACATACTTGCTGACAGGTATTTTGAAATAAATTACCAAAATAATTGAAACTGATGTGATTATATTGTGTTATTTTGACAAATAAAATATGCAGAATTTTAAAATATTGTGTGCAGAATTTTTAATTTTTGGTGCAGAATTTTTATATTTGTTTTTGGTGCAGAATTCCCCCAGGAGTAAATACTGTAGCTGATAAACATCGGCCATCTCTTTTCAGTTCAGATTCATCTTCCATGGCCCATTTCCCTTCAACATCCAGCAGCAATATTATCCCAAGGGTTGTATTATCAGAGATGTTATCAATCAATTTTCCCCAAGACATTTGGCATATCTAGTGCACATCACACTACCACAGGGTTTCTATCATAGAATCATAGAATATCAGGGTTGGAACGGACCTCAGGAGGTCATCTAGTCCAACCCTCTGCTCAAAGCAGGATCTAATCCCAACTAAATCATCCCAGCCAGGGCTTTGTCAAGCCTGACCTTAAAAACCTCTAAGGAAGGAGATTCCACCATCTCCCTAGGTAACCCATTTCAGTGCTTCACCACCCTCCTAATGAAAAAGTTTTCCCTAATATCCAGTCTAAACCTCCTCCACTGCAACTTGAGACCATTACTCCTTGTTCTGTCATCTGGTACCACTGAGAACAGTCTAGATCCATCCTCTTTGGAACCCCCTTTCAGGTAGTTGAAAGCAGCTATCAAATCCCCCCTCATTCTTCTCTTCTGCAGACTAAACAATCCCAGTTCCCTCAGCCTCTCCTCATAACTCATGTGCTCCAGCCCCCTAATCATCTTTGTTGCCCTTCGCTGGACTCTTTCCAATTTTTCCACATCCTTCTTTTAGTGTGGGGCCCAAAACTGGACACAGTACTCCAGATGAGGCCTCACCAATGTCAAATAGAGGGGAACGATCACATCCCTCGATCTGCTGGCAATGCCCCTACTTATACAGCCCAAAATGCCGTTAGCCTTCTTGGCAACAAGGGTACACTGTTGACTCATATCCAGCTTCTCGTCCACCATAACCCCTAGGTCCTTTTCTGCAGAACTGCTGCCTAGCCACTCGGTCCCTAGTCTGTAACAGTGAATGGGATTCTTCCATCCTAAGTGCAGGACTCTGCACTTGTCCTTGTTGAACCTCATCAGGTTTCTTTTGGCCCAATCCTCTAATAGCTATACCACAGGTATAAGCTCATGGGTACAGCTGGTTGGAAAATTTCCAATGAAACAGTTTTCCTTCTGAAAATGACATTTTGTCGAAATGGAAACGTTTCACAGGGAACGTGTCGATTTCAACAACATTTTGTGTGGAAAGAAATTGAGATGATCAGAGTGGAACGTTTCAATTTTCATTTCAAAATGACTCTCTGTTTTGATATTTTACAATCTTATTGAATGTATTTTAATGCTTTACAAATTAAAAATGGGAACGAACCACCCTGATGGTATCAAAATGAAACATTTCCACTGATGAGAAACAAAGATTTCTTTCTGGGAATATTTCAACTTGCTGGAAATTTCAAAACTCGCCGGGGTGGTTTAATGTTGGAATGAAAATAAAATTTGAAATCACAGAATGTATTACACAAGATTCCAGTTCCTGCCCAACTGCCCTCATGAATCTGCAGGCGCATGGAGTTTGATCCTTTTATTCAGAGAGGAAAGACTCATGGTTTTACACATAGAGGTCTTGGGTCCTATTCCTGCAGACTAGCTGGCTGGGGCATCATCAACAGGGATGGATAGAAACATCCCAAACCCAAAATAGTTTTATTTGGAAATACTGTTGGCACCCTTCTGCGGTATTGCAGTTTGGGTGCCCCATATTCCTTTATAGGCCATGCTCCACAGTGGGACTACATTTCCCATGATGCATCACAACCAGGGACTCCCATAATGCCATCAACTCCCCTCACCATACCATGGGAGTTGTAGTCTCACCACAGAATTTGGCCATTGGAGGAGGATGGGGGCCTCAAGCCCACATACTACAACTCCCATGAAGCATTGTGTCAGCTTTTCCAGATCAAAATGTTGCAAATTTCTTTTTTTTCTGAAAAGTCGATTTTTTTTTGTGGGGAGAAGTGGAAATAATTTGTTTTTTGGATTGGACAGTCGCAGGCTAGCTGGTATTCTACAATAATGATTTTCACACTTTTCTTGAGCTGAATATTTGGGGAGCCAGAATTTACATGTAAAACCAACTTGCTCTGGCAGGGATTATAAACTATAGTAGGTAATGTTGGTAATAACACCTAGAGTCAAGGTTACCTAACACTTTCCTTGATCAAACCCTGTTTTCAGTGGCTGAAAGCTTTGCCAAACTTTAACTCTTCAGGCTGAGATTTTCCACACTTGCTCTCTGAACGTGCTTTGGAAAGACCCAGTTCAGCCATTTCCAAGAATGAGGTTTGGGAATGATAGGTCATTTTTGCAATGTTCAAACAATTCTCCAACCACTTTTTGAAGTGCTCTAGTGCCTTGGTAGCAGGGACTTGAAATTTTGCAAAGGAATAGCCCTGGGGTCAGGGAGGTGCCTTTTGCTGTTCTCATGAAAATTCCCCCAGACTTGGTTAAATTATAAACCTCTGGAAATCACAATTTACAATTGCTCAGGAGAGCAGGAGCTTGGTCAGTGACTGGCGTTTCTAGGCTTTACCGCAATACAAGTAATAAAAACTATCAAACTTTTTTGGATGGAACGTTTTCCCATCAGAAAATGGCATTTTGTCAAAATTTAAAATTTCCACAGAAATGTGTTGATTGTGATGCAAATTCATTTTTAAAAAAGATCGAAATGAAGCAGTCTCCTCTATGGGCTGGGCTCCACAATCAAACTACATTTCCCATGATGCTCACAGCCAGGGATTCCCATGATGCACTAACTTCTCCTCACCAAAAGGTGCATGGTGCTTCATGAGATAGGCAGTCTGAACAGAGCATTGGACATTATCGGAAAGGGCCATTTTGATTTGGTTTTTTTTTAAATAATTTTTTGTTTTCTCTTTTTTCTTAAAAGAATTAACATTGGATTAGAAAAGATGCCCTCTAAAAGTTATATATTTTATATATGTTTTAAACTCAAAGAGATTGAAATCTCAGTGAAGCAGATGTATTTCCTCCCCCCCCCCAAACATTTCATTTTGTGGGAAATTTCAAAATTCATAGAATCATAGGATATCCGGGTTGGAAGACACCTCAGAAGGTCATCTAGTCCAACCCCCTGCTCAAAGCAGGATCTAATCCCCAACTAAATCATCCCAGCCAGGGCTTTGTCAAGCCTGACCTTAAAAACATCTAAGAATGGAGATTCCACCACTTCCCTAGGTAACCCATTCCAGTGCTTCACCAACCACCCTTTCCTTCGGTCCTGATTCGGGACGCAAACAGATTGTGAAATCATGGCTCCCTTCCTGCTCTACAAACAATAATGAATAATCAGAGATGAGGCCTGAATGCATTAATTCCCTTTTGCAACTTGTGAAATCGATAATGGGACTTATCTGTCTTAAGCAACATCTCTGAGACATTCCTGGAAGGACCTGTGGGGAAGCTGCAGAACCTTCTCACCCAACCCAACTTTGGCTTCTCGCTTGACTCTTTTCCCTACCTGCGGCTGCCCCGACTACCAGCATCGCGATGATCAGCAGCTCCATGGCGGTTGTGGTGATGGATACGGTCGGTGGCTTTACTGCAGGGAAAGAGATTGAAAGGGAATCATTGGCCACGTCTTGAGGAGGACAGATGCCTTGCGGGGAAGGTGCACGCTTAGGATTCAGGAAAGCCAGGCTTGAGTCCCTCTTCTTCCACAGGCTCCCATGAGCAAGCGGCTTCTCTGCACCTCGGCTGCCCTGCCTGTAGCAGGAGATGATAGCACTGCCCGACATGGGGAGGGGAAACACACTGTGATCGTCTATTGGCAATGGGGGTCCACTGTCCCCCAACTCAGCTCCATCTTCCACTTCCGCCCGGTCCCAGTCGCCCCCAGGGGCATGTTCCATGAAAAGATCTGATCTGTTGGCGGGGATGGGGAGAGAAACTAAAAGTCAAGCCAGATGAGAAAGATTTCCATGAGCTGGCCTGAGCCCACTCCACTGTCACTCATTCCCCTTCTAACATGTCACCCCAATAACAGAAGAGGGAGAAACCCCTATGACCAGCATAATAACAGAGAAATTAATAGATCTCAGGCAGTATCTGGCCTCCATTACGGTAGTATCCGAGCACCTCCCAATCTTTACCGTATTTATCCCCACAATTCCTTGGTGAGGCAGGGCAGGGCTATGACCCCCATTGTAGAGATGGGAAAACTGAGGCACAGAGAGGCTAAGTGATTGGGCCAAGGTCCTACAGGGATGGAGTGTCAGACCAGAGATTAGAAGCCACGTCTTCCAAGTACAAGCTGAGCAGCCAAACCGCCAAGCCCTCCATCTTCATTAAGTGCCCCATTCCACCCCATAATCATCTCCAATACCAGAGCAATGCCCCTCGTATCCCATAATCGCCCCCAATAAAGAGCAATGTCCTCTCGTACCCCATAATCACCCCCAATAACAAAGCAATGCTCTCTTGTATCCCTTAATCATCCCCAATAAAGAGCAATACCCTCTCATACCCCATAATCACCCCAAATAACAGAGCAACACCCCTCGTAGCCCATAATCACCCCCAAAAAAAGAGCAATGCGCCTTGTGCCCCATAATCATCTCAATAAAACCATGCCCCTCGTAGTCCATAATCACCCCCAATAACAGAGCAATGCCCCCTCGTACCCCATAATCACCCCCAATAAAGACCAGTGCAACCTCATACTCCATAATCACCCCAATAACAGAGCAATGCCCCCTCGTACCCCATAATCACCCCCAATAAAGACCAGTGCAACCTCATACTCCATAATCACCCCCAATAAAAGAGCAGAGCCCCCATTCCATCCCGTCAATACCCCCAAAACAGAGTGATCCCACTGGCAGCCCATAATCACCCCAATAATCTCAAGATGCCCCAAAACACCACCCTATGTCGCTCCCCAAACCAGAGTTATCTCCTTTCCACCCCAGCGCCATGATACCGCCAGCCAGTCATCCCAACAACAGGGACTAGACTAGCCCTGCTTCACCTGTAGCTCCTGGCGGGGAGCGGAAGAGGCTCTGGTGGTTGTGTCTTGGTCAAAACTAAGGATCCTCTGGGATGGGCCATTTTTTATGCTGGGGAAATGGGCTGTCCCTGTGAGTCAACGTGATTGCCATATCTGGGGAGCTGCCCACATGTCGGCATCCAGGCAACTCCCTCCACACGTACACCTGGCACAAGCAGGTTGGATCCTGGGGAGTTGCGGAAGGAAGCCGGCCTTTGCTTCCGCGTCTGTCCCCTGCAGGGGAACCCGGCAGGAATTAGCCTTTGGAACGGCACCTTCTCCATTGCCGAAAGCGACTCCCTGACCCTTCCGCCCTGCTCTGGAGTCTGTGCCTTCCTCGTCCTCTTCCTCTTCCTCTTCCTGGTACCCTGACCCTGCCTGACTCTGCGTGTTGATCGCTGGTTCTGCTCTCAAGTTTGGCTCCTACCTCTGATCTCCTGGTAACAGGACCCTGCCTCCCGATGCTTGACTCTGGATTTGCCCTCGGGTCTGCCTCGTACTCTGACCTCCCAGTTCGTAGCCTGGCCTGATTTCCCAACTCCTGTTTTGAGCACTAGGTTAGACAGCCCATGTCCTGTTTGTAACACCCCTCCCTCCCCACACCCTATGCAGGGGAACGGAGCGGTCCCTAAAAACAGCTGCTCAGTCGCGTTGCGGCTGCCGAGTTGCAGGTCTGCCTCTGTCCCAATGCAAAAATGACCCTCTGACAGCTGCCCGTGACTAGGAGCTTCCGGTCATCACTGTCCCACTCCCTTCACCGATCACCACAAGTCTTGGACATGGACAGTGGCGGATTACTGGACAGGCCAATGGAGCCCATGCCCAGGGGCCCGGGCCAATTTGGGGTCCCCAGAAGCACCCTCCCCCACTGCAGCCCCGAGGCTGGAGGAGCTCTCACTCCCTGCTGGGGTCCCAGGGCACAAAGCTTCTCTGGTCTCGGGACCACAGTTGGGGGGTGGGGGCGGAAATGAGGGAGCGGGGGTGGGGATGCGGGGGAAGGGGCGGAATGGGTCAGGGCTGGGGGCAGAAAGGGGCGGGATGATGGGAGAGGGGCAGAATCGGTCGGGGCTGTGGGCAGAAAGGGGCAAGGTTGTGGGGGGAGGGGTGGAATGGGTCGGGGCTATGGGCAGAAAGGGGAGGGGTTGTGGGGGGAGGGGTGGAATGGGTTGGGGCTGTGGGCAGAAAGGGGAAGGGTTGTGGGGGGAGAGA